CTGTGCTAGGATCTATACCTACATACAGTAACTGCTGTTCTTCTTTAAACCTCCCACTGTTTAAATAGAAAGGATCGTTATCTGTGTCTTGCAGAGGAATCAAGAGATTTGCTTTAAAAAGTCTCAGATTAACTTGTTGCAGAGCCAGAAACTGAACTTGAAGGCCTGGAAATTGAACTTCAAGTGCTTAAAAATGGGAAATATCCAGACCAGGGCAGTGGTTGTAGCACAGGACTCGCAAAAGAGCTACAGGGGGCAACAAAGAGCATTGAAGATGGTGAAGGGTCTAGAGGGCAAGACATGAGGAGCGGCTGAGGTGCCTTGGTTTGTTCAGCCCAGAGCAGAGCAGGCCGAGGGGAGGCCTCATGGCGGCCTGCAGCTCCCTCACGAGGGGAGCGGAGGGGCAGGCGCTGAGCTCTGCTCTCTGGGGACAGCGACAGGACCCGAGGGGACCGCATGGAGCTGGGACAGGGCAGGGTCAGGCTGGGGGTTAGGGAAAGGTTCTGCACCCAGAGGTGGCCAGGTACTAGAACAGGCACCACAGGGACATGGTCACGGCCCCAAGCCTGGCAGAGTACGAGTATTTGGACAAGGCTCTCAGACACAGGGTCTGGTTTTTGGGTGGTTCTGTGTGGAGCCAGTTGGACTTGGTGACCTTTGTGGGTCACATCCAGTTTGGGATGTTCCATTGGTTCTATGATTTTTCAGTATGTGTGATGTCCCCAGTAAAAGCCTCTTAACTCCCTTGGCTCTGCTGATCGGCTGACTCTTTCTGCAGCAGCCATGCAGGCCTGTTTTTAGTAAAACAATGTCACAGCTAGAAGTACCTAACCTAAACCTTCTGTGTAAGAAGTTGTCAGCTGCTGCTGATGAACACTGACCAAATACCTACTCGGTTAGCTTTTGTTTGTTTTCAGTGGCAGCTGTAATGTCACATCAGAACTGTTAGATCTTGGCCTGTCCTGGTTAAGGTCTGGTTTGGCACCCAGAGAAAGTCATGTTGAGTCAAGGCTCATTCATCAGTTTTATATCTGCTGACTTTACACTAAGAAACGATTTCAGGATCCGTTTCCTAGTTTAATAGCGGGGAATATAGGATTTCTTACATACACAGCCCGCAGAATGCTGTAGGAGAGAACACAGGCTGTGTTGTGCAGTATAATTTGGACCATCTGTAATGAAAAATCTTTCCAAGTTGTATTTTTGCTGGAGCTCTCTGACATTTCTCAGTGCTGGGGTATGAGTTATATAACTGCTTCTCAACATACATCAACAGAAGCGTCCCCAGCTTCAGCAACACCGTAACTCTTTAAATCATGCCTTGTCCCATCCCTGTGCCTGGCAACATGCAGTGAAAGTTCCGATATATCTACTTCTACTCCCTCGGCATTAGCTTTCTGCTCATACAGAAAACCATCTGCTTTTTCCTTTTGGCCACGGGGTGACACGTTTTAGTTCTCCTTCATTTTCTTACAAAGGTATTTTCCTAGGTATGTCAGGAGACATGGCAATGCATTTCTGGGTGGCTTATAATAAAAAATTCTTCATGAACTTCTTTGCATGTTGGAGGGGGAGGAAGGAAATACCCATTGATGTCCAAGTGCACTTTATAGTATATGCTTAATAGTTGATAAGTGGCTGAAGCGGAGACAGTGAGCATTAACAGCAGCATGTGCTTTAAATGGCTGCTCATTTCTTCTGTCATACCTCCCGCGTGTTCAGAAATGGCTCAAAGTGTGGCCTGCTAGGATTTTACTGTTGTTGTTGTTTTTTTTTTTGTCTAAATTCCTGATGATTTTTGCTGTATTCATTGAAGTGCAGGACTATTCTGTCAGTCCTACAGGAACAGAGATTGTATCTGTAACTTGTCAGCACATGAACTCAGTTTTGAAAATAACTCTGTTTCTCCATCTGTTGAGGGAAAAGTGCAAGGCCAAGATGCAAGGCTGGGACTCAGCTGCACAAACGTTGTTCTAGATGCTCCTCCAGTTGCCACTTCAGGTCAGTGCTCCTGCAGCTCCATGCCATCCCCTCGGGTCCTGTCGCTGTCCCCAGAGAGCAGAGCTCAGCGCCTGCCCCTCCGCTCCCCTCGTGAGGGAGCTGCAGGCCGCCATGAGGCCTCCCCTCGGCCTGCTCTGCTCTGGGCTGAGCAAACCAAGGGACCTCAGCCACTCCTTATACACTCTATGCTAGACCCTTCACCATCTTGTTTGCAAGTACCATGCAGAGTCCCTGCCTCCTCCATGGAGACTCATTCTGCTTTCCTCGTGGACCTTTCTCCTGCTGCCCAGCGTCTCTGTTGATTTTCTACTGGTCATAAGTAGTTTAATCCACAATGCTGTGAATGTAACAGCTCCTGCCAGCTTTGCATCAGGCTTTAGAAAAGAAAGAACACAAGTTCAGTAGCCTGTAAGGTGATTAAAAAGGTAATAAAAAACTGCCTTTTGTTTGCACAGCTCCTCCTGAGGAGTAGGGTGGGTGAGAGAGTTAAAGCCTATCTATAGCCTACTACAGAAGTCACATTGAGTGGAAAGAGTCATGTTGGCTACAAAACCAGGAGGCTGCACTGCACAGGAAATAGAGCATGAAAGGGATTTGTGCTGTGATATTGAGATTAGAGAGAACAAGCAACGTGAACTAGCAAGTGGAATGCAAATATTGTACATTCAAGTGCAACTTCAGCGTAATCCCAGAGATGTGGGTGCATAAAGAATTGGAGAGACTCTAATATTAAAACTGCTTCTCTGTGCTGACTGGAGTCCATGCACAGTGGCCTAGGTGGCCCCAGCCCCACTGATGGATATCTAGTGCTGACACCTTCTTCATAGTTTTGTTTATGCAGGTGCTTCACATTTGGACAGGGAGCCAAGAGGCTCCCTCGGTCACTGTCTGGGTGTCTTGTGATGGGCTGCAGAGCCCCGCTCAGTAGCTGAGCTCCATCACTGAGTCGTTCACAAGAACCTGGGGAGATTGTAATGTCTTTGGATGGACAGAGCCAGCAGGAATTAACCAGAGATGTCCTACAGGTCTTTCAGAAGTGGGGTGGGGGTGGAGAACAGAAAAGCAGATTTGTGAGAAAGGGAATGTGCTGGTAAACACCAACTTGGTTGCTTGGTGGATCAGTAACCAGAGACTGAAGTGTCAGCTTTCTGTGCTTCCCATGGCACCTCTTTGAAAAATGAAGGAACAGGGGCAGAAGTTAGTAGGGATGATTTTTTTTTAATGCACCATTCTCTACTTTCAAAGCTCTCTTCCCCTCTAACTTGGAGCTTCGAGTCCTTTGAGTTTTCAAGTATCTGTAGTTCCAGTCGCATCGGTGGGGCTCTGCTGCACTTGCAATAAGGCAATTGCTTAAATGCTTTGCTGAATCAGGGCCATGATGGACCAAAAGCTTTCCATAGTTGGAAGGGTTGAACCGGGCACCTCCTGAATGCAGACAATAAAAATTAATTTTCTTGTATAAAATTTATTTTAAAGGCTTTACATGTTTTATAGGCCAGGGGAAGTATTTCAAAATATGAACAAATACTAAGCAAATTTCCTTTAATTCTGTAAGAATGGAGCCTGTGTTTTTAAAGGAAAGATTCCACATGTAAGCTTGTCTGTGCCTATACAAATCCATTGATAAATTTGAGGTTTATCATCATTACCTCCTTGTTTCCAAGCCTTCTGCTTCTCTTGATCTGTGAGCTCCAGATTGAATGCGGAAATGACAGGTTTAGGACACACTCCATATTATCCCTCCATATTCTTCCTTCATTTAAAAGGTCTAATGCCACAGAAATTGTCATCTCTCACCTTAATTACTTGCCCTTCTCCCTGAAAATGGTGTACTTGCATTGCAGTTACTGCACTTGACTTAACAGCTACCACTTCTATGAGCATTGCTCTTTCCTACTTAACCCCAAACTCATCTCAGTACTTCATTTTTGGAGGTATTTCATTGCTTTTCCATAAGGAAATGAATTCCTTCATTGTACAAGAAGGCTGAGTACTGTTTTCCACTTGAATATTTTTGTAGGCAAAGAGGGGAGAAGGAATGAAGTGGATGATTTGGGTTTTTAAATAAATAAACTCCCAAAATACAGTGCTAGTTCAATTGCAAGTATGTAATTTCCTCTGTAGCAAATATAGCTACATGTATCTAAATCCAAGACATTCATCAGCTCTTTTATAGGATAAGACAGGACTCAGAAATGATTTTCTGTTTAAGTACATAAGATCAAACATATTTGTCATTTTAGCCTTCTCTTTATTCTATCTGATTTCGAGATCTTCAGACAGACTCTCTTTAGATGTCATTGCTTCAAGCTTCTGCTTTTATCACATTAACCACTCTTCATGAGCTTTTACACATCAAAATGTCTTTAGATACATTGTTGAAGAGAGAGTACTTGTGAAGATTTTTCAATAAAAAGTTACAGAATCTGCACCTGAAACTTTATACAAACAGAGGAAAAACAAAAAAAACAAAACCCTAAGCAAAAATCCACAACACTGCCTTCTCATTATGTTTTCTCAAGGAAAAAAAAGCAAACCAACACATGCATTTTCATTCAGAGCTGAGTACAGCTTTGTTTTTGTGCAAGAACTCAGAAGTGGTGAGCCATCTAACAGCTATCAGATCCTTAAATTTTGGGAGCTTAGTACTTCTGCCCTTTTGAACTGTCCTTTCTCTGCTGCATTGAGTGGATGGTTACACCAAGCTCTGTCATTAGGAAGGCTTCCATTTGCTAACGGAGCACCTTGATGTTCACTGTGCTCTGCCTCCGGCTACTGGTTGGTCCTGCTTCTATTTCAGTTTCTAAATGTATGAAATTAATTCTTCCTGGCTATTGGAAAGGGCTAGCTTTGCTCTGAATGGATTTAGCTGAGGACAGAACTAAGCTTTGCAAGATCACTCAGTGATTTCCTTACATGTTGCTAATTAAGATTAATGAACACAGACCAATAAAAACATGTGAGAGGCATTGAAGTGCTTTCATCCCTCATGCAAGCAGGTTTGGCCTCCCCCGTGGCTGAAAGGTGCATTGCTACAGTGGAACAGACTGTTCCCCGTGCACAGCTGCAGCGTGGGATCACAAGGAGACCGGGCACAGCAGCAGGATATTTCCATGGTAAGTTCATCATTTTGGCAGTTTTCTTATCAGTTACAGATCCACTTATTTCTGGAATAAGTCAGCTATTCTTTACATAACTGCTTGTATTGGAACCAGAGTGGAAAGACAATTAGGAAAAAACAAACAAACAAACAAAAAGCACTTTAAAAACATTTTCAAGACATTTTAGTGCACATGCATGCAGGTAGACTGATTATGACAAGCTAAATAGCCAGCTGTGCTGTGCTGATACATGGCAGGGAAGTCTAGCCCAAGGATTCCCTAGGGGATTAAGGGGATCTACCTTTGTTTTATCAGTATGGGCTGGGTGCTGGAATCACACTCAGACAGACATCATAAAACTGTGATGTGTCAGCATGTTTAGTAAGGAGAAGCCCAGCCACCACACTTAAATTAACAGGAATAAGAAGAGCTGCCCCCAGAGCACCCAGCTTTCTGATTGTGTTTCCTGCATTTCCTTCAGAATATCTGAAGGGCTAAAACCTCTAGCCATGTTTGAAGAAAATCTAATTTGATTTCTTGCATTTAAAAACAAAAGAAACAAAAAAAACCAACCAGCTCATGTACTTGGTCATCACTGGTTTATGCAGTGGGGCTGGTCACCTTGGAGAGGCCACCTGCAAGTCATGGTGGTGCCCCCCTAGTGGGCAGCTGAAGTCCACCACAACCACTCTCACTCCTGTCTTCAGAGGAAGAGGGGGAGAAAACATGATGGAAAGGGGCTCAAGGATTGAGGTAAGGACAGGGTGATTGCTCACCAGTTGCTATCACAGGCAAAACAGACTCAGTGCAGGGAGATGAATATAATTTATTGCCTATTACTAACAGACTGGAGCAGTGAGAACTAAAAGCAAACTAAAAACACCTTCCCCCCCCACACCCATCCTCCTCTACATCCTCCCCCCTGAGCACCTCCCACCAGGCCTCCTGCTCCACTGTGGGTGCCTCTCCACAGGCTGCAGCTCCAGCCTGGAGTCTCCTCTTGCAGGGGCTCCTCCACAGGCTGCAGCGTGGAGATCTGCTCATGTGGGACCCATGGGTGCAGGGGGACAGCCTGCTCCACCAGGGGCCTCTCCACAGGCTGCAGGGGAACTGCTGCTGCCTGCCTGGAGCACCTCCTGCCCTCACCTTGGGGGCTGCTGGGCTGCTTCTCTGTGTGCTCTCACTCCTCCAGCTGCTGTCATGCAGCAGGTTTTTCCCTTTTTTCTCTCCTAGAGGCACAACCAGCATCTCTTACAGGCTCAGCCCTGGCCAGCAGCAGGTCACTTTTAGATCTGGCTCTGACCTGACGTGCAGGGCAGCTGCTGGGCTCTGCTCTCACTTGCCAGCCCTGCAGCTCCCCCACTACCAACACTTTGCTGAGTAAAGCCAATACACAAGTCAGTGACTGGAATTTGCTAGTACAAGGATAAGCACTCCAGTGGTGTGTGAGCAGTAGAACCGCAGCCATACTGTGTTAGTTGCTTGTTTCTGGAGCAGGAAGCTCTGCCTGGAGGAGCTTGTGGTGTGAGTGGAAGCATTCATGTTCCAGCACCTGGAACAAAGTGGTCACTCACAGACACAGGCCTTCAGGGTTAGAAGGGAAATCTGCATCCTCAGCACAGATTTTCCATCCCATTCTGTAGGTGCTTGAAGACCACACACAACCCCATCCTCAGCTGAGCCTGGCTGCACAGCCAAAGCCTTCCACACCCTATTTACACTATTTTCAGAGTGTGTTGCCTGGAGGAAGTGTAGAGCAAAGGTGTTATTAATCATTAGGAGCAGTTCTCCCTCAGCCATTTCAAATCTTCCTGTGCAGAATGTCCCCATAATGTCTCGGCTGTTAGCAATCAAGTCTCCAAATTACCAACTCACAATCCTAATCAGATCTGAAATTGACACCCGTCCCCAGCATCCCATCCCACAGCAAAGAAGTAGGACTAAAATAAAAGCTGTTTTCCAGAAAACAAACAGAAAGAAGCCACGACACCCTCCAACTCATCTAGTGTGAATACAGTAAGTACAGTGGCAGTATTTGTTGTTAAAATTTTCTAAACAATATCACCTGCTCATCTGATGTGGAAATCATTGCTGGTGAGCTACTTTATACTGTAATATGAATGAAATTAAAGAATGAAAGAAAAATAATGGAAATATTCTTAATTTATTGTATAAAAAGATAATTTGAATTTCTAGTCATGTTACACTGTTTGAAAAATAGAGTACTGTTATGTGCTTCAGGGACCTGAGTTTGATTGTTGATAGCCCTTGAATATATTTGCATAGAACAGAAAAATCTTCTACTTAAAATATTGCCATACATTAGACGAATGAAGCATGTTTTCTTAGTGTAACTGCAGCAAAGGTTCAGACTAAGAAGACCTAAACAGAAAATGCAGTTGTGTCCCATTTCCATGCTACTCAGAGATGGCTGAGTTCAGAATGTCATGTGTGTTGTTTTTTTTCAGTTCTTATTACATACTGATTTGAGAGATTCATTATTTTACACACATGAAGCACCTAAGACTAATGATAATAATTTGGTGCTTGAGACAGCCTGTGTTAACGTAGAATAGGACTGTAGTTAGGAACAAGCAGAAAGGATGTTCAGGGGTGTCACAGATAAGGACAAAATAAGCATACACTTGAAAGATGCAACAACAAATCTTTAATTGTTTTATAGTAAATTTTAAGCCTTGATTTATCCAAATGAGGAATACTCACTCTAGGCTGTTAACTGTTAAAAATGGGTGTTGATGCTGATAACCTGGTTCCTTGATTCCTGAAGTGAGGAGTGGATGTGTCTGGGATGGAGGCTGGGACGCAGACAGAGGTGACTGCTGGCCAAGACCTATGGAAAGGCAACTAAATTAGAGGTGCAGGAAGGCAATTTATTTTACTGGTTTTGTGCTACACTCATGCTGAATGTTTTTTGTTTGTTTGTTTGCTAAAAGGTTCTTTGATCTCTTTTTGATAGCTGCAGCCATGCAATGTGAGAGCAGGAAGGTCACCACCTGCTAAGGGATGAGCAGTGCAGCAGCCATTGCGATATGACTCGGGCACCTGTTGTTCATCACCATCTCTCCTGTTTGTTTATAGCTGCAAACCAGTCCCGGGCTCTGGGGAAGAAGCTTAAAATTGATCCCTAGGAGTTTAACTGGAAAAAGCTGAAGGAAAGAAAAGCATAAGCAAGCAAGGAGCAGCAGTGAGCATGGTGAAGATGCTGTGGTAATGCAGGTCGAGCAGTCCTTGGTAGACCAGCGCACCACTAACAGGTCTGTGCACTACACTCCTCAATTTGAGACTTGGCAATCAGATCACATGCTGCTTTTTGATATTCTTTTTTTTTTTATTTCCATATTTAAATGTTTGTAAACTGTGAACAGTCTGTTTCAGTTACCTGTACTCCCAGTTAAGTTTCAGAGCAAAAAGTGATCTGTACATGTTATGTATGCACCACAGGTTTTGTCTGTGGTGGCCTTTCTGAGAGAGCTTCTGTTCTCCAGCTGTTCTCCAGCTTGCGTCTTGTGCCTGAAGGGCCAGCCGTGGAACAGAATTAAAAGCAATTAGCACAGAGCCTGCTTAACTACACCTCCCTGATTGAGGTGCAGGCACGGGACTTAGCAAGGCAGCTCACCCACCTGCACAGCCTGTAACTAGATGATTAGGTGCACAGGGTGACCTGGGCTGATGAGTGTGAAGGCCAGGCTGTCAGACAGATGGATCCAGGTACACAGGAAACTCATAGCATATTTCCCGTCCAGATCTCAATTTGAACAGCTGGCCTCAGAGAATTGGGTATGGGGTAAGGAAAGGCTAGGGATCCAGCGCTTCTGGAAGGATCCACTGAGTACCTAGAGGTATAAGCTGCTTTGGAAGCAGGTAAATAGAGTATGTCTCAGTTAAATCCCCCAGCGCCTGCTCATTTGGTATTTTTCATATGTAAATCTATGCCTACCTCAATTTTCATTCTGCATTTGCATTTCCATTTATATCTTCTTATGAGAAGTCATATGCCAGTTAAAGAATGGGGGGGAGGGGGGATGAAAATGGAGAGCAAATAACTTTCAAGAACATAAGATAAAATTGTTACCTTACAAAGGAAAACATGTGACACCTAGCACACCAAAAGGTATTACTTCCTTAAATAAGGCTGGGTTTGAATATCATAAACTGAATGTTGGAGAAGATTAAATGCTAATAATCAGATCAAAAGTGGATATATGAGATGGGAGATGAGGCTGGGAAATTGCTTCGTAGACTGAACAAAGACGAGGACTGGAGTAAAGTTATTAGCTCAATTAAGGAGAAAAATGTTTTGATGAAACCCTACACTCACTTGAATAAATCAAGCATTTAGAATATTATTTAAAAAAAAAAAGACTTAAATCTGTGGACAGTTTTTATTTGACAGCCTCTATGCCAATGTAATCCAAAGGCTTCTCTGATTATGAATGAGTATTACAAGAAGTTATCTGCAAGAAATAAACATAACATTTAGCAGCCTTTCAGTATTTTACAAGGAGTTCCTGAAGTGGATTTCACAGATGGGAAATTATTGTTATCCCTGCATTTTATGGACAGGAAGGGAGAACTCTCGTGGTTGCAGCTTTCTCTGTTTTAATCCTCGTCCCTCAGACTTGGGGTAGTACATAGCTCTCCTGCTGCTTCTCTTCTCGTGAGCCAGCTGCAAGGCCGTGAACTTTGCTTTCAAGACTGATTTCAATGATGAAGCATTAAAGAAGCATTTTAGGTTCCAGTGATCCCCAGCGTAAGATATTGGTGGATGCTTATGAAGCTTTTTCTTATATCCCAGTCTGTTAACTTTTCATTAATTCAGGGATATTTCTAGAAACATAAAATGTGTAACAGTGGAATGACTACACTATAAGTAAAAGTAAAAACAAAATAACTCTCTTAAACCCCAAAGGCCCTTGCTAATTGACCTGACATGCTAATTAAGCAGTTTTGATCAGAAATAATTAACATAATCCAGCTAGACCAATTAGAACACTGAAAAAAAAAATCATAACTTTATAGGAGCTTTAATTTTAAGAGTATTGTTTGCAGCATGAAAGACCAGCTGATTCAGCAACACAAGCAGGAGTTGTGAGTTGAGGAAACACGTTGTAACCCACTACACATGGAAACAGTAGATAAACCGAAAAGCCATGACAAGACATTTTCTTCGTGGCAGGGAGAAGACGAGCAGAAAACCTTTAAAACTTATTATCACCTCCAGACGAGGCAGGCTGAAGAAGACAGAGTAGTCAGCTGTTGCAGCAGCACAGTGAGAATGATCTAAATGCTGGTCCCACACTGCAGCCACTGTGACTAGGTGAGAAAATCACAGCCTGTAGGACACCAACATTTGAGATTTACCCTCGGGAGACACTGTTAGCGATTATTATTTGTTATTTCCACCACAGAAGACTGGAAACCTCAAATCTCACTGCCTTCAATGCAAAGGAAGAGAGAACAAAACCCTACTAATGAAATGAACAGTGAGTGATATGATTGCAAATAAAGTGAGACAGCTGTGTGGGCTGTAAGCTGTGGAGATGGTGCAAACAGTTGCTTAATTTGTTTTTGTTTTTTAAAAAAATAGAGTAGTTCAGTTGGAAGGGATTTACAAAAATGATGCAGTCCAACGGCCTGTTGAACTCAGGGCTAAACAAAAGTCCAAGCGTGTTAACAAGGGCATTGCCCAAATGCCTCTTGAATACCAGCAGGCATGGGACATCAGCCACCTCCCTCAGAAGCCTGTTCCAGCTTTGGCACCCTCCCAGGACAGGATCTTTGTCTCGTGCCCAAGCTGTCCCTCCCCTGCTGCAGCTCCATGCTGTCCCCGCACCGGGGTCCCCAGGGAGCAGAGGCTGGCGCCTGCCTCTGTGCTTCCCCTCCCCAGGGAGCTGCAGGGAGCAGTGTGGCCACCCCTTGGCCTCCTCTCCTCCAGGCTGGGCAGCCCAGGTGTCCTCAGCTTCTCCTCTCAGGACGTGCCCTCCAGCCCCTTCACCAGCTTCGCCGTGCTCAAGCACCTCAGGGACCTTTTTATATTGAACTTCAGAACTCCACGTGATGCTCAAGGTGAGGCTGCAGCAGCACAACATGCCGCAGGGGAATCCCCTCAGGGGCTGGCCATGCTGTGCTTCGTGTGCTCCAACGTGTGGCTTGTCCCCTTGGCTGCCAGGGCTCCTGCTGGACTGCTGCCACTGCCCCCCCAGCCCCTTCCTGCTGAGCTGCCCCCCAGCCCTGCTCCATCCCAGGGGCAGCACCCGGCGTTCCCTGTGCTCAGCTTCATGCTGCTGCTCATTGCCTGCTGCCCCAACATAGCCACATCCCTCTGCAAGGCCCCTCGTCTCTTGACCGTGAACAGCAGCTGAGACTGAAATGAGTTCTGAGAATTGAACCCACAGAGAGGCTCAGCAGTGTGGAAGCAAGAACGGGTGGAGTAATTTGACTTCTAACAGCAAGATGCTACACAGAGTGGAGAGGAGCCACTAAGGATGCAGCACTCCCCAGGATCACACCAAGGATTACTTCTGAGCCATCCTTCTCTCTGGCAGCCAGGAGCCAAGAGCCATACTCGCCTAACTAATGAGGCAAACTCCCAGATAAGGTCCCCCACAGGCTTTAATTAAACCATCTCAATACCTCTGCTGTTTTTCATCCCTGTTTCAGCTGCAAGGTGGGGTGTGCTGTCCCGGGCACAACATCCTCAGGTTCCCATTCCAGCCCAGCTCTGACGATGTGTTGCTGCCAGCCGGTGCACCGACACGCACCTCCGTAAGGGTGGGCTGTGTGGGAAGATGAAACAGCATTTGGATGTATTAGCACGAATATCAAGCTGCTGTTGATGTCATGTTGTATAATTTTGTATTTCTTATTTTTTTCTTCAGGCAGATAGTTGTCTTGAGAATTTAAGCAGGTGCATAGTTAGACTGAGACTTTCAGAACATACATTTTGGTCTTTAGTTCTTAACTAATTTAGCTCCAGGGACAATTTCTAGTAAAATGCTGCTTGGAAACCTTTGTGACTGGAAGCTCCCTACCAGGGAGTGTTATATTTGTAACTGCCTATTTAGATACTGATCTAATGTTGAGAGGGTTATGGTATTTTTTGGTTTTGTTTTTAAAACCCACTTAGACCTATTTTCACAGAGTACTCTTCGGGTGTCTAATACAGGAAAATGGCAGGTCCTGTAGGAAACTATCTGAGATCTCAGTATTTCAGGATAAGTTCTGTCTTAGAACTTCACTTTCTCTTAGTGGCCTCCAGAAAAGGAGTTCCCTACGCACAAAATAAACACATTGAAAGTCCCCAAAGTGATGAATTTGAACACTTCACATGGAATATTCAGGGAAGCTTTTTTCCCCCCTGAACCTTGAGACACACTTTGCTTTCTTGCACGTTCCCAAAATGCCCATCATCTCAGGGAATATGGATTTCAAGGCTCATATTCAGTTGGACTGACTAATTACTTGTGTTGTAATGATCAACCTGCCTAATTTATCACTTCTTTGAACATTTAATTAGCCAACAGTGCAAGACAATTAGGTTCTGAATTAGGATAAATTAAAATGCTAGCTTTGCAGCTTTAAGGATGTGCAAGCCACCACCAATTGCTGCTATGAAAATATTCAACAAAGCAGATAAGAATGCGAAGATCTCAGCCAGGTTAATGATTCTGAAGTAACACAGCCTTTGAAAAGCTAACTATGAAATGTTATGTTTCATCACATGTCAATCTGTCTGTGCTGAAAGACAAAACCAAGAAGCTAAAAATGGCAGTTTCCTCCTCCTCCCTGCACAGCTCCAGCTCCCACTGGCTCATCCAACCACCCGCTCCTCTGCTCCTACCCCTGGGTCTCAGAGATCCCACTTCAATTCCCATATGCATCCACTCAGGGGCAAGGTCACATTTTGCTTTCCTGTAAGTGAAACACTAATCTGTGTTCCTAAGTACTCTAAAACTGCTTTGGAACTGTCCCAGTATCAGGCACGTAAATGTTTTTGAACAGATATAAGATAATAAAACTGACTATAGAGCTCTAATAGGAAAAACGAGCATTGGAAATGGCTTAAGATTAGTAGTCAGTGGAGATGCTTTGGTAAAACTAGCAGAAGTGCTTTCATTATGTTTGCTGTCATTTGGTTTCCATGACTAAGCCATTGTAATAAACTGAAAAGGACCAGGGATAATACTTTCAAAGGTGCTCAAGAATCACAGGCCTAATTCTTGCTGTTTTTTCAAGAGACTCCTTCTCAGTCTCACACCTGCAGCATGTATTGAGGTGCCTGATTTGTATTTTCTCAGGATTACTGTGGAAAGGATGGGACTCTTGTCTTTGTATGTTTGGTTAAAGCTGTGATAGAAAAAAATTGATTGTCCAAATCTTTGGGCTGTTTTGAAGTCTGAGTCTTTGTTCTTGAGGTCACTATTGAAATAGTCACCACACTGAAGGCACATGCTTGTAGTACAGAGATAAGGACCAGTGGATGCATTTCTTTCTTATCTAATGAATGTGACTCTACAAATGCATTCAGAGTCTCCTGAAGAGCCCTAAGAGATGCTCACATACATCTCTTAATCGAGTATAAGGCACCGATTGATACGGACACAAGTGGTTCTGAACAGCAATCCCAGTTCCAAATAATTCTGACAACATTTTTCAACGGTGTATTTAGTGCTAATTAGTCCATTTTGGATTGTTTGCCCAAACTACACAATAATATCACTTCATTAAAAAGGCTTCAATTAAAGAAGAGAGAAAAAAGTTCTCATCAGAAAGCTATCTGCACGCATTATACAAGCATTCTCAAATTAGAGATGAAATTACAGCCTTCCTGTTACCATGAGAACAGCAACATTTCTCGCAGCCTGTTAAAATTATTAACTCAAGGAGCATATATCTTTTTAAATTTCATTATTATTTATTTGGGGTTGCACAAGCTTTGGCTGGGCCCACGCTAACCACTATTAATCACATATCAAGTGAACTATTGCCAGCATGGAGAGAGCCTCCACCATTTTTTGCCAGCAGCTATAATTAGCTTTTATCCTTCTGTTGCCTTTTTTTTTGTACTAGCAGTGTGTGGACATTAAGGCAGAAACTGTTATAATGAAAAAAAAAACAAAAAGCAAAAAACAAAAACCAACAGAAAAGCTTATGTCTCCAGGAATCTTACAGCCTGTGCTCCAGAGCAGCTGGCGAGTTCAGCGGTGGTCTGAGTTCAATGGTGTGGGGAAAAGGAATGGTGGCGAGGGCTCAAAACACTTTGCTGCCAGCCCGTGCTTCCTGCGGGTTTCGCTGATGGCATCAGGTCACGCAAGAGCCTGAGTGTGATGCAGCGACGTGCAGAGGCCAGCCTCGCTCGGGCAGGACAAGGGCTGCACGTTCTCCCTTCTGGCAGCGATTCGATCCTCGGGTGTGCGGCTGCCCTGTGCTCTCCTTCTCACCTCAGCAGCAATCCTAACAGTTTGCCTTCAGCAGGGAGAAGGTGGAGGAAAGCTGCTGGGAGCATTTGGCTCTGCGCAAGGAAGATTAACGGCAGGAGTGAGGGTCTGCACCAGAGAGCCTGCTGTCAGCGTGTGCTGTCGGCAAAGCTGGCCTGATTCATGCCATATTTCATGTGCTTCGCCTGCCCTGGTGGCTCAAAGGAGATGAAGGGGACATTCTGAAAATGGGTCCAGCTGCCTCGTTACCCGCCAACACCAGAGTCGCTGAGGCTGCCTGGGCCATCCATCATACTCCGGCTCCCTCCTGGCTGCCAGCTTTCAGGTTATTCCAGGAGAGGGCAACTCATTCGGGTGGATGTCGGAAGAATTCACACAAGGTGAATTCAGGTGTGGGGGGTGCACAGCTCAGAGGCATTTCAGTCTCTTTATAGCATGCTTGCTACTGGTTTCGTGCTCCCATCTCAGGAAAAGACAGATAAAGTTCTAGGATTTTGCAAGTCACCAAATTCACAAAATTTCGTGACAATTCTGATTCTCTCCTTTAGCTAAATTGCTACCTAGGCACAGTCAGACTTCAATGCCTTAAAATCAACTGTATTCCTTCCTTCTTCTACCAGCCTGATCTACTAGACCAGCTCAAACAAGCCAGCCCAAGATGTACAGCACGAGCATGTGTTAGTACGCCTTGTCACAAGTTGAGCCCTTTCGGTGGACACGTTGGCTCTGAGGTGGTTGGGCCACACACTACAGACTTCCTGCACTCTGCAAGCGCAATGCAAGGTAAAAATCATTCTGAATTCTTGTTTTTTTTTTTCTTCCTGTAATGATTTTTTTTTGGGGATGAAAATAGTCACTGTGAAGGGGCCCTGCTCTCCCACTGTCAGCTGTCAGAATATCGGTGGCTTTGTGCCCCACCCATGTGCAGCAGTGCCTTTACCAGGGCTGTAGGTCATGCAACTTGCCTGTACTCGTGCTCAGAACACTTGTCATGCTTGTAAAGCACAAATGTTTGTGCAAACTGGTCAAAGTAAACCAGCTAAGAGGTGTTTCCCAACAAATCTTTTGCGACTGCATCATTTTAATTTTGTTTAGGTCCTTATAAAGTACAAAACAATTTCAGAATTAAGAGTATCTTACAAACGGAGAGCAGCCCTTTAACCCCACTGAAACCCACGTTAAAGTATGGTCAGGCACAAGGCAGCCCAGTAGGACTGGTCCCAGTACAGCTGTCTCTGAACCACAAAGCATTTGATACAGACACTGGACCTGCATTTTGCCAGTCTGAATAGGGCCTCAGCTCAGTGTATTACCTGCAGTGTGTAAAATCAAGCAAATAAAGCCAACACTTATCAGTAGTACTGGAAATACCTATTTTTAAAAGGTTATGTATTGTCTCACATTACCCACCAGATTTTTGGTTACTTGTAGGCCAGAATCTCTTCTTTAGACTCATACCCAGTGCTTTAATAGTTTTGCTGCCTCATCTTCTTAAAGACCCTAAAGCCTTTGTGATCAATATCCACTTATTGTTTATGAGAAGAGAAGTAGGATAATAAAAATATGTTCATACTAACTATGAGGATGAAGGTAAGATAAAGGAGGAGTATCTCTACAGATTAAAATAGTTTTGAAGATAAGGAATGCCCGTGTATTCTGGGGGAAAATAATAAGATTCTAGAGATAAAGTAAACCATAACAATCTTTATGATAATGGGAGAAGAGCACATTAAGAATTTTATTAGCAAGAACTACAAAAATTAGCTTTCCCCATTTTCATTTTAGAACCAGTGAACATTTTGTTTCCATAATAAAAACAGCAATGAAAAGAAAATTGGACACAGGGCATTACACTTCTTCCTCTGCAGGCGAAGATGAAATTTTCCTCTCTTGGAGGACTAATATGGACAATCCAGGCTTTAGCTCTGGGGGCCATGGTGGATATCACAAATGTGCCATCTAACGCACTGCTCCCGCCACTTCAGAGCTCACTCTGCATTTGCTGAGTGTGACTTCAGGAGATTCACAACTTCTCAGCTGTTCACACCAGGAACAGGAATTGTGAGTATACTGATAGACGAGAGGCAGAGTTTTCCCTTACACCTTTCTGCATGTTGGCTGCAAATGAACCCAGAGCAAGGGCCAGTATCCACACGATGCTGCAGTGCAGGACCTCACCAGATGCTGATACTGCCTGGCCTGAGCACCATATGAAGCACTGTGTAATAGTGGAGGTATGGTGCAGAGCTTAGAAAGAGAAGTATCTGCACCATTCTGAAACTGCAACTAGAAGCTTTTTGTGTCCTCCCCCTGACTGGTTTAGTATTCAGATAAGGCACTTTGGGATTGCAGAGAACCTACTAGTGATAGAAAGACTACCTAGATGGAGCTCAAGGGAGTAGAAACTTCCTACAGACAGAGCCACTTTGAGATCTGCGGGGAGCAGAAATCAGCTGGGAACAGCTTTATGTGACTGTTGGATAAGCTCCTGAAGCAGTCTGAAGAACCTGCTTAGCTGCCTGAATAACAGGGTCCAGCCTACACAGCCAGCACCTTCAGCACCTGAGGTTGTGACTCAGGTACTAGAGCCATTTTGTTGCTATCTGGCAGGCAAGTGTACAGTGTCTGGTGCTTCTTCAGTCAGCAGATCCTTAGAGAGAATTCAGAGACTTGGTACCAACATTAACTTGACTTCGTACTCCAGAGATTTTGCAATATGACAGCCACTAAACTGCTAGGGTGCAGCTCTGACGTGCTTCAGGCTTGGAGGAAAGCTGTTGTTTCCACACCTTTAGCTTTTCTAAAGCACTTTTCACCAGTGCACCACAGCCACATCATCCTTTCTTAGCACTGTTCGTAGAAATATGGGACTCCAAGTTCATGCAATGGCTCACTGCGAAAGCCCAATTTGGGTTCAGATTGGCTACTGAAGCCTCGCTCTGTAGGATCTTTACTCTCATCTCAATAAAATGTGCATAGCAGCTCAAGAACAAAATACAACCCCATCTTGTAATGATCGTTATGCTGTATTTTGAAGCCCATTTATCACTTCTCAGGAGCCATTTCTGATATCATAACTTTGCACGCTCACTAACTGTAAAAAAATTGCTGGTTCCAACATCCAATCCTGAAGGAGAAGATTGTGTTCAGTGATTGCTCCAATTGCATTGCCAATGAGTCGAAACACTTTTTTGCTAGGACCATTAAGCAGACTAGGGGAACATTCATGTATGTTTAATGCTCAGGAAATCAGTACAATTGAATTCCAAGGATCAGAGAGAAAACAAGTAAAATTAGAAAAGTTGATGGAATGAGGAGAAGAAAATGTGCTCACATTGCTAGAGAACCTCAGCTTGAAGAAGCTGGCTTGGGACTTTTTGAGACTTTTTGCTGTAGGAATCTTATCCTGGATCAGTTTGTCCACTCAATTACCTTTGTATAAGCTCTAGCCCTAGAACAGGAGAGTGAATGTCAGATCCATTACAACTCCTGCAAAGACAAAGCAACCAATCCATCACGTTTAAGGCTCCAGTGTTAACTCCGATCTCCGATTCACAGCACTGAAGAGTTACCTGATCAACATCTTCTACACCACAAAGGCCTCAGGTGGTGTCCAGGTTCAGACAGAGTTTAGATTATTAGTTTTGAGATGCTACTTGGTGGTGTTGAAAATACTGAGTCAGTACTGGACTGACTGAACTCAGCTGATAAGGACTGGCTTAATGTTTAAAGGTGGCACCTGAATTCTGCGTGTTCCTGCAGTGAGAACTGGGACAGGCTGATTGACTCCCAGGCCCTCGCAGGACCATCCTGCCAGTACCCCTTCCTTTCATTGCTCTCCTCTCTTTCCAGGCATGGGGGAAGACCTAACATCCATTTTTCTGCTAGCAGCAGCTGTGGCAGGGCAGAGCGGGGAGGGATGTCCTCTCAAGTATTGCTGCCAACATCTCATGCTGCTTCAGCACTGATTTTTTTTTCAGGCCACCCTATGAGGTCTGTGAGAAGCAGCACATATTTGCCCCACTGCTGTGCCTCCAAACCCAACCCACAGCACTGAATGCCATCTGATGGTAACCGGGAACAGTTGTATCCCCTCTTCTCTTTTTGGAGTCTTCTCCGTTTTAAAGAAGTGACAGGACTGGCATAGACAGCTCTTATCCCTTTGAACCATTAAACTGCTATGGATCTAGTTTATTGCCCTTGATTATGAGTCCTCTCTCTTCACTGAGCTGTAAATAAAAGCTTTTGACTTTAAACACAGCTCAGATATGTCATGATTGAAAACAGCCTGCTGCTCTCTCAACATGTTTATCTAATGTCTGCAGGAGTAAGAACAGGGAGCAGGAGAGCAGATGGTGCAGCTATCTCAGTGCAGAGAGTACAGTCTATGTATGCAATATGTAGACATCCAGTATTTCCTAATGCAACACTATAATTATTGTGGAGAGGGGATTTTATTTTTAAACTGCAGCTTAAATGAAATGATCTCTTCAGACCACACAGGCTCAAGTACAGCTGGAATGATAACAAGCCTTTTCTCAAGGCAGGAGGGAGAATCCCAAATACAGAGGCTAAGGTGAGCAGGAACATAGGACAAGGAAGTAGAGCAATAAACTACTGAACAGATAAGGGATTTCCAGGGAAAATAATAAGGGACAGAAGGGTCCCCCCTGGAAACTTTCCTCCTTCACCTTAGACATATTGGAGGGGTAGGAGAGGGCTGGTGTGTCTTGGGAAGAATATCAGGGAAACTGCAAAACTGATAACGGAAATAAGAAGTAGGTTCTTTCCAGAGGGAAGGGCACTGGTGCAAGTCAATGTCAGAATTTATTCTGATCAGATGGTGAACAACTAGTAACCACTTATTCTTCCATCATCCAAATGACAGCCTCTTTCCCCTTGCATCATATGCATTATTGAGAAAGAACAGAATTACAAAGACCTAATTAATCCTTTCAATTAAGTTACCATTTTCATTACTTAATTCTAAGTAAAGTGCTGTATTTTGGATTGGTTCAATAAATAGCCCGTGTCACTTATCTCCCTCCTTCTCATACACAATCTTTGAAAAGCAAAACAGAGCATGCTGAACTTGGCTTAATGAAAAGGCTTCCTTCAGAAGTTATCTCAGTAAGGCAATAGCACAAGGAGGCATATATCCCTTTGAAACAGGACTGGGGATTATTAGTTATTTGTACAGAAGGGATGAGATGGGTAATAAGGGAGAAATAATGTTTAGGTAATTTTTCAGTCCTCCGAGTTTAAAGCAGAGAGTCAAGGTGCTGGTGGGTGAGGGCTCGAGTGTGCACGGTGCTGTGCAGGGCAATACAAAAGGCTCGAGTGTGCACGGTGCTGCGCAGGGCAATATAAAAAGCCCTAAATGGCTCAGCCCAGAAAGCCATCCTTTGTACTCGGGCCCGTGGGCAGACAATGCTCCACAGCACCCCAGGTGTAGCAATCCACCAAAGTGAATTGAGAGCTAGGGCCTGCATTTGGGCAAGAACTGACCAAAATAGCAGCTGCGTAATGGAATTTAAGAACTGCTGCACAACAAAGGAATTGCAGTGATGCCCTCCGACAGTCATTCCTGCCAGGCAATCTGAAAGCATTTTCCTTCTTCAGTGATCTGAAGCTTCTGAAATGATTATATACTTGCTATTTCCCCCTCCTTCCTGAGATAACAGCAACAGAATACTTAGTGATACCGGTACCATTGCTAATTTTGCATGGTCGTCTGTAATTTACTTTACCCGTGTTCTCATTTTCCCCATTTGTAAAGTACAGCTTGTACCTACATCATAAGAGCTTTAAAAGGAAAAAGGGATTTATATTAAGCACGATTCTAATCTCTTTTGTAGCGTATATAAATAACTTATGCACTGAAAATCCAGCCCTGTATTCTGGCATATTGAGATTAATAGATCTTTTTTTTTTTTAATTAAAAAAAATAAAAAAAAAATACAGAACACTGGGAAATAAGTGGCTGGCTAAAGCATTGTCTAGCAGAAAATATTTATAAGTGCAAAGTGACCTTATAGTCACAGGCTGTGTGTAACAACAGAGATCTGTTGAAAAACAATCCTAAGGAGGTGCCAAGATTTTATTATTCTTTTATTCCTTACAGGTTCTTGTAATGTTGGAAAGCCAGAGCCCTGAGAACTGGGTGCAGAACAGGAGCTCCCTGCTGGTGCTTGCCAGCAGACCAGGAGGAAAACAGCCCCATGACAGCAGCCCAGTAGGGAAGAGAGTGCAAGTGAGGAAGGGCACTTGGTTGGACCACTCGGGTCTCATCTGCATGAAAGAAGCTGTGATATTTTTATTAAAATGGTATGTACTCAGCAACTTTAAAGTAGCATCAAACACTGGTGCTAGGGAGTGCCTGGACAGGAGAACCAAGTTAACATTTTCTGGGTAGTGTGGCCATTCTGTCAGATTAATTGCAGGCATCCTGTGAGAGACCCATAAAAGAATAGTTTATTCTGGTTATAAGGACTTATGAAGGAGTTTTTATGCTGCTGCTACCATTCCAACAGATCTGCATCATGAAGCTGCAAGAAATATCCTCTCAATGCAAGTTTGATGCTATCATAGCTTCTGCAGCAATACTACAACCCACAGCAAGCTGGAGCTGAGGATGATGGTAACTGCAGGAGCTTCCTATCCACCACAAAGCTGTGGGCTCCCTTCACTGCATTACATTCTTTAATCCCTGTGTGCAATGTTTATGTTTGAGAGTGAGGAAGTGTTACTTGTTCCTGAATGTCCTGAAAATTGAATTGAAGTTCCCAGGATAATGAGTGTAAACTTGAGCCATTAAATCCCATGGCCTGATCTCCTGAAGAAACCAGGCCTTTGTGACCACATTGTCAGTCTACCTCCAAAAAAACAACCAACCAAAACAACCCCTCATAAACTTAAAAGCCTGCTGGCCCATTTTAACAAAAAATTACATAGGATAAATACATTCCTATAATTATTTTTTTTTGTGCCAGTTAGTATCAACCTAATGTAGAGACCCAAATGAGGGTCACCTTGTCACCTCTGCCAGCAACAAGGCAAGTGGGCCTTGGTCGTTGTGTTTGGCTTGGAAGTTACTGTCTGGCCTGTCTTGCTCAGTGTGGCTCTCACAAAGGACATGTAAGGAGGCTGTGGTTACTCCAGGTAGAAAAAAAGGGTACAAAGGAACAGAAGGGTCAACTTCATAGGATGTTCAACTCCATTAGCTCTGTTGTTCACAGAACAACTTTGTTCTGTGTAGCTTAGACCACTAGAAACCAAAGCTTTCCTTTCTAGTGCCAGAGCAAACGGTTGAAGCAGTTGGAAATTTCTGAAAATATTAATGGTGGTAGCAGTAAAGGTTCACTCTGATTGGTTCTTGTTCTAATGAATTCTGAGTATAAAAGTATATTTTAATCATGGAGTATTTTTAAAGTAGGTCATAGTGTTGTGTTTTTATTATTATTATTTAATCCAATGATTCCTCTTCTCTAAACTACTGAATTATTCAGGAAAAAATATCCATTCAGTACTTCCTCCACTGACTCGAGCAAGTCAGGGCTGAAGTACCATGTTTTAGAAAGGGACTCAAGCTATTTATTTAAAAGCCTTTGTACATAGTCAGCTGGAAAACTATGTCCAGCAATGACAAGTAGACTGTTCTACGGTCAGAATTCCTCACAACACCAAAGGAAGAACTCCAAGTCATCTGAGTGACCTCAGTCACCCCAATTAACAGCAAAGCACTACTCAAAGTCCATAGGCTCGACTGAGCTTGAACACTGTGTTCAAAGAAATACTGAAGAGTCCAGATGTCTCAAATTTTCTATGCATTTATAAAAATAAAATGACCTTTTTCTGACTTTTTACAGCAAAAATAGAAATTAATCTGAAGTGTTTTGTGGGATTTTGCTATCCTTGACTCAAAGAGATGCATGGTTTCCCTTCATGTCACAGAAAGGTAAAGCTGCTCAGGGAGGAGGCCGGTGGTCCATGCAGTCCGTGCCGTCAGACGATTGGCATCTGAACCTGTTGGCTGGCTTTTCGTTTTGGCCACTTCCATGGTGAGTGGTAGATGGGGCACAGCTGTGAGCTCTGAAAGTAGTTCTCTGTGTATTATTGCTACAGTAAACAAGTGGTTTCATTTCTTGGGCTGAAGAGAAGAAAAAAGTAATCTATACAAGGTGATGGATGATTGCACTCACCATTTGTAACGTTTTAATAAAATTGTGGGAGAGTTTTTCCTCCCTACCGCGTTCCCAAAATCAGGTAATTTTTTAAAACCTCTTTCATAGTCACGGATGTGACATCCTTCTTTTTAAGGTTAGAGATATTCCTATTTTAACAAGTACATAAAAGGCACAGAGGTTTTTCCTGTAGCCCTTTCAGATGGCACGGTTGATCGGTCATTCACACAACTACAGACTGCTCCAAAGCCCCGCGTTGCTTTAAGATCCCCCCTCCAAGCGGGGCACTGTCTCCTCTCCTCAAGGGCCAGGCAGCCAGGCTCAGGAGGGTTTTGACAGCCTCAGGAAGGCTCAGGAAGGAGGCGAGCACCCTTCGTCCATAGGTGGCTGCTTCCCCTCGGTGCCACAGCAGGTGCCACCTGTAATGGCGGCACAGCCGTGAGGAGAGGCGGCCCCTGGGCGGGAAGGCCTGGGCAGCAGCGGCTGTGTGGTGTTGTGCACAGGTGAGTGGGTCTTCCCTCAGATATGGCTTCTAAATACATGTGGGGGGCATGTGTGAGGTGAAATGAAGGGATCTGGGGAGCTTCAGAACGCTGTGGGGTTTGCAGGTGTATGATGGAGCTTGTGCTGGCTTTGCTAGGATGGTGGATGAGCTGGTTTGTGTGTGACAGAAAACAAGGTACGGGGCAGTGGAAGGGAACTTAGAAACCCTATGTTTAAACACACAAAACAAACCTCATGGAACCTCAGATTTAAAAGTACCATAATATAAAACACAAAGAACTGCAATTGGTTGGTTGGGGTGGGGGGGAATATATTTAACTGCTGGCTTCATCTGAGCTGGGGATGGAGGCAGCCTGGGCCCCAGAGCAGCTGTGTGGAGGTGCCTCTGAACAGGGATACGTGAGGCTTTTCTCGATGTGTGCAGCACTTAGTTCTAATTCTCCTCTGATAAGATGCATTTTCATTGCATGTTAGTCATAATTAGGTTCAAACGTAGCTCTGAAAGCAAAAGCGCTGGGCAGCTCCCAGGCAGCTCGGGGACGGTGAGCCCTTGTCAGTCCCGGTGGTGCAGGTGTGCTCCTGCAGCGTCACCAGGTGGAGGAGGATCTGGCTGAGGAGAAAAACACTGACTAGACAGTGCTGAGATACCTCCTTGAGAAAAGACAGCGATTCTAATTATGTGAAACAACCTTCTCAAACTTCCTGGTAAGGATAAGAGAATAAATTAGGCAGTTGGTATGTGAAGGGGTTCGGGAGAAAGGAGCTTTACAAATTCTGTAACACCGCTGACTAAGTGCTGATTTACAGTAATTCCTTTCATTTCTTTTCTAATTAAACATCTCCTGAAGGATCAGGCCTGTCAATGTGATCTGAGGCCTATAGCCTGAAGTGTGAAGTGAGGCAAATTGCATGACTTACTTGCAATGATAGAGTCATTTTGGAAGGAGATTGAAAATCAATACTTGTCATCCCTGCGCAGTGCTCTTTATTCAGAGGGGCAATTTGTAAGTGTAATCTGTATGAGTGTAGTGGGAGCATACAAAGTTACAGTACTAGTCATGCAGAGTGAAATGACAGAATATAAAATATAGGCTTATTGCCATTTTTATTCATATTAATGTCAAGGAAGCTTATTCATAAGTGCAACATTTTAATTCAGTGCTATGCAGCCAGGCCACTCGCTGCAGTTTTTGGCTTAGGCTGCAGTCACCATTAAGGGTACCAGTGGCTGACATAATTTGTCCACTGACGATGTTGGGCATTATCTGTTTGCATCTGCTTTCAGCTGTGGCAAGGCAAACAAAGGCTAAAAAAAGAAATGGATCAACCCCATGTATGCTGAGAAAACAGCAAATAAGCTCGTGGTGATCATGGGGCTTAGTCAAATTCGAAGAGGATGGCAGCATTAGAGTGCAGATGCAATCACAGAGGACAAGAGGCACTCAAGAGCTTGTGCTTTTCTCAAATGAGAGTGCTCAAGAGTAGAAGACTGACAGCTCTGACTTACTCCAAGCATAATGAAGTCAGGTGCCTTGTTAGCTTCCCCTTGTAACTCTGGCAGTTCACTGTAAACTGTACTGGTAACTGCAAAAAGTTCTCAAGTTTTTCCTGAAATGCATTTGCTGGTTATGATGATTATTGGGACAAATTAGTTAGGATGAATTAGAGAGAGACAAATGGGCTGTGGTAGCACTGTTGGGCTCATTTTGCCTATTCGCTGAAACAGAGCTAGAGAAGTGAGCTGTAATTGTAGTCAGCACTGCTACCACTGTGCTGGTGTAAGGACTTGATCATGCTGGAAGAAACTGTGACATCATAAAATACAGTATGACATCTCTCTCTGGAAAAGGAGTTTAAAAAGAATGACACACAGTTATTCAGAAAAAAAAAGCTCCGTTGTTATTTAGAAAGCACTGCTCTCCTAACAGCACTAATCCCTTCCCAAGATAAAGAGATTATAAAACCAGCTTAATTCCTTCCTGTGGAAGGCCTGTGCCCAAGAATTATCCTGAGGAGACTGTGGGTTTCGTATGGGTATGTTTTACTTCTCATCTGGCTCAGAGGGAATTTCAAGTAGCTGTATTTGAATTTTTTCCTGATTGTGGGGACGGTTCCTTTGCACCCTCCCCTAGCCCAAAAGGTAGAGTAGCCAAACCAAAACCAAATGCATTTCCTACAATGCCTGGCTCACATTGTAATTGTTTTTAAACAATAAAAAGATTTCATTGAGACAGTCTGGTCCTGAGGCATCCAAGTCTATTTTCTATTACTTTGGGAAAACAAAATTAGTGAGAATTATGAAAAAAAAAAAAAAAAGACTTACTAAATTGGGAAGGGAAGGCTAATTTCAAGCATCTTTTTCCCATTTAAAGAATACTTTGGGAACCAGACCTGTTGACAAAAGCAGGTGTTTAGAGACATGAATTGCCAAAGCAGATCTAAAGCGCTGCCCCACAAGGCTCCCAGACCTCGTCCACGTGGGTGGGAGGAGCAGGAGAGCTCAGTGACATGCTTCTTGCTGCTGCTGCATCCCCTCCCAGCCCACCCGAAAGCAATTGGCATGTTGCGTTTCCTGCAGATGGACCACAAATGGCACATGTACTGCTGATGCGCTCTGGCACTTGGGGAATGAGATTGCATTTGCCAGTTAGCTCGCCAGCAGCCAGATTTAATTTGGAAAAGAATGGTCCACAGTTGTTGCAGAAATAGCAAAGAGCAGATTTTTAATCATCCTCCGTTCCTCCCTGTTCAGTCTCATCCCCTAATTGGTAAATGAGAGGCCCAATCAGCTCAAATCAGGGGAAAAATGTGTCAGAAGCAGCCACTGAGACAGAAAACAGAGGTACCCACTCCTTGATATCATGATCTTGCAGCTGTTTACAAGTCAGATTTAGCTAATCAGAGGGTCCCAGGGAGAGATTAGTCTCTCTTTCTAGATTCTGTGTGTAAATTGTGGTAGAAAAGAGCTTTTTTCCACTTGCTGCCCTGATTATTTTTGCATGCTGTTGACTGTTTGCAGTTTTATCCACCAGAAGGGACATATAATGTAATTTTATGTTTGTAGATAAGCATAGCTAGACTGATCAGAAATTAAAATATTTTTAACTGGGTGTAGTAAAGAAGTAAATTTCCTATTTTCTGTGTTTATTAGTCATGGTGCTTTTCCTCTCCCTGTATTTCCTCACTGGTGGTTTACTTCCCTTCAGTCTGAATTAATTCCTGAAGCCATGAGCCTTAATTGCAGGAAGAGTGGCTCCGCCTCGAGACCTTCAGATGCTCAAGCAGGGCTTGTGTTCAGCTGACAGCAGCTCAGCAGTTGGCCTTTTGAGATACTCCAGTTGAGGAAACTTGAAATGCATCTCGCTAAGGGATGTCTGGCTTGGTTTGTGGGTGAGTGCTCTCAAGGAGAACGGATGGTGCCATCACACTGTCGGGGCAGGACATCCCCCTCTGGGAGGGAGGGATGGCAGAACCGAGCCCTGAGCATGGAACAGCATTCTCACGTTCTGGAGCATTGGCCCCAACTGCTTTAGACCCATTTCTTGTACACTGCTCTTACAAAGCTCTTGGCTTCCACTCCACAATTGAGCTCCAAACGTGCTGCATGTGTTGGGCCATGTGCCCTGCCGCCGTAACGCCTCGTCTGCGCTGCGCTGCGCTCTGCATCTCGGCTGTGCGGGCTCCTCTCCCGTGGCCCTGAGCAGCCGACTGGCAATTCCTGTTGCTACAGGATTATCTGCGGGACTGGGTAGCTGGAAAATGATGTGTTAGACCTGTAATCTCAGCTGGCCCGGGGATTTTTATTTACGGTTATTGTTGTCTGCACTTAGTGTTATGTTATCTGCTGGTTACAAATGTGCATTTTACAGGCTTCTGTGTGTTTCTCGTGTTCCTTTGTGCTGCTTAAGTGGGTTCTTGTTGGCTTTAGTCTGTCAGGCTCTCTGGAGCTTTAGCATGGGATTTGCCGGAGTACAAAGGAATCCCAAAGGCTTCTGAGCATATCAAATGTGGTCCTGGGAGTCCGGCAACCTGGGCCTGCAGTGCTCTGCGCAGTCTCCTGCTTCCTCTTGGGAAATGATGGATTTATAAAAAGCATCAGCGAGTATTTCATAATGGAAAGTTGATTCAGCTGCAGACTAAATCTCATTGACTCCAGCCAGGCCAGGTTTGAGCCTTGAGCATCTGACCCGACGTCTGTGAGCAGTACCGATCTGCAGGAGGGTGGCTGAGCACCATGCACGTGAGCATTGCTCTGGCTGCCCTTGCCCTCCACCTTGTGATCCAAGGGGGGGCTGCACCACAGTGGCAGCTTGGGAAGCTACCTGGAGCAAATTGAGACAGGAGGGATTTGAGTTGTCCTTTGGGGATGCAGT